GAAAATAGCTACCTGGATATTTCTGTATGAAAAAACTCTGCTCCTACTCTTTGAAGGACACCCAGAGCATGTGCATGCTCAGTGGCTGCTGCCATCACCCCATTTTGGTGCTGCCTCATTCCTCTTTCAACGACCTGGGCCTTGAGAATACAGATAAATCACACAAGTTATGAGGTCTGAGGCCAGAATTGCTCTGCTGGAGGGGAAAAAGGGGTTAGAAAAAGGCTTAGTGTTATTTGAAGGGACATACACTCACCAGGCTCCTCCTACAGCTCCTTCATTTCTCTGATTTTGGAGTTGAACTAGAGAATTTTCCACGGGCTTCATTCCTTTCTGAAGCATCTTCCTAGACAAGTGCCCACTTCTCAGTGGACCTCACATCATGTGAAGTAGGAATTATATGTGTTTCCACATAGTTCTTCAAATTAATGTGCAACAAATGGATTGATTGAATTAATAATTCATAAATGCTAATTGTACTTCAATGAAAAAGTGTTCAACCATTACTCTGTTCATTGACCTGAAAATATATCCCTCAGTTTAAAGTATTTCTCTAAATTTCGGTCTGATGACAGCAAATCTTTTAATCACTCTCTTGTAATTTTCTGACTTCAATTTAAAACCATTGCAATCCTATAAAAAGAATTGACATTTAGTCAAACAAAATGATGAATTTCTTTGCACCGCAGTAAGCACTCAGATGCTCACTTTATCTCAAGCTTAAAAAGTTAGCCAAAGCTTGCCCTGAACTAAATTAATTTTAAATATACATTTACTCAGTAAGTATGGCTCAGTAAAATGTAAACTCCAAGGAAATACAGAAATATTTTAAAGTGTGGTACTGAAAACTAAACCGCTCCATTTTGTTTCATGTTATTTTCCATGTTTCCATGTGCAGCCACAAGATCAGCTGAATTCCATTTCCCATTGCTCTCCTTGAAATGTTTATTCTCTGTACATTCAGTTTTGTAGTCCCAAATTTAAGGACAATTTAGGATAATTATTAATCCACAGTGTTATCTAGAAAAAAGGTCCACAGAATCCTTTGGCTTTTTTTCTTACATCCTCCTGTTCTATCCTATGATTATTCCTCTTGGCTGTTAGGAAAAATTCCTTCTCCAGAGGTTTCTCCAGCACTGGAACAGGCTGCAGTGGAGGAGCCCCTGTCCCTGCGGGGATTTTAAAGACTTGTACAGGTGGCACTTAGGTACCTGGTTTAGAGGGGGCTTTGGCAGTGCAGGGGGAGCTGGATTTGTCCTTCACAACCTCATGGACTTTGTAATTCCCTGCTCATTTGGGATATTCCCCAATTATTCCTACTTAATGATGCATCAATGCTATAATGCAAATACAGCAGTATTATTTATTTACACATTTTGCTATGTTGATTTCTTTTAGTGAATTAAAGTTGCTCAGGGCAGCATGCTGAGACCTAGGGGTCAAACAGCAAGTTTTTGTGGAAATGTTTCCTTCTGTCATGGCTTTAGTGGGAGAAATTTAGGAGAAATCATAACATGAAGAGATGACTTTCAGAATTTGTATGACAATTTGTAACTGCAAGAGAAGAACTCTAATTCTGGCTTAATTAAGCTGCACAGTGTCCAGTTTTCCCCAGTGCAAACGTTGTTCTTTGATCACCCATCAGTGCTCACCAGCCTTTGTTCAGTGGGATATTTTACTCTTTTAGCACCTGGGAATTTGGGGAGAGAGGCTGGGCTCACCTCTGAGTTTGGGGTTACTGTTGATGTGTGATGCAGAGTCAGTGTGAAGTTTGCTAGTGAATTCACTGCCTTTTATTCCCAGCTGCCATGAAAATAGGAACCAAGCTGAAGTAGGGGAAAATCATCTCCCCACATGAACTGAAAGAAACGTTCCTCAGGGAGGGATAAAAGCCAATCTGCTCCGGTTAAGAAAACAGTAACAGTAAAGTCCAACTAGCACATAAATCCTACAGGAGCAAAAGCCCATCCTCCATAAACACATTCAGAAAAATGATTTTTGTTTTTTGCCCTGAGATATTTGTAATGTCAAACAAAATAAAGCAGCCCCATGAATATGACACTGTCCTGGTCATTGTTTCAGCTCAAGGAATAACTGCATTTTTGACATGACAAAACAGTTGGAAACACATGACTCATGTTGAGGATCTCTGAGAAACAAGCTCCTTTTTGGAGGGGATGGAGATGTAGAAAAAGTGACAACAGGATAAAAGTGGGGGTAGCTGTTGAAATAATTCAGTGGTAACAACAATTTGTGGGGTTTTTTTTCCTTCTTTCTGTAGAGGAAACTTATTTGCTGATACTTGTGGCAAGCATCTTATCTTCAATTCATTCTACTCCATCCTGCATTCAGCTATGTTCAATTTGATCCCCTCTATACAGACACGACTGTGCCTATTATTGCTGGGCACAAAAACCCCACCAGCCTTTGCCAAAATCCAGCAACAACACTCAGCTGGAATGTTCAGCTCTCACCCCGACTGGCTTCCAGCTTCATGAGTTGGCTGTGTGTGCTCTAATGAAATATTCCTTCCATTTCACTTTCTCTATCTGCCATCAATTACACTGAATTATGACAGTTTCCTGTAATCCAGGCTGATTTTTTTTCTTTGTTTCTTCCCATTTAAGAAAGATCTTGCAAAGGAGTGCTCCAAAAACATAGCATTAGCCTTGGTGTCCTCTGCCTCTTTGCAGAATGATTTCTGTATTTTTTATTACTGTGGAATTCACGTTCCAGACAAAGGCTCATGACTGTCACTGACAATAAAATCTTAACTTTCTCTGCATTGCTTTCCATTCCCTAATGAGTTGAAGATGTAATTTTTGCTTTTTCCTACTGTTGATGTGTTCTGGAGAGATTTTCACTTTGCTGGCCTATCAGTGACAACAACAATTTCTTTTTCTCAGAGGAAGGGGAAAGTTTAAAGCTCAGCAGCACGAGAGGTTTGTATTGTTGTTATAAGCACACATTACCTTCAAATTTATGCAAGCTGAATCTCATATGACAAGTCTTCAAAATTAATCTGGACTCTCTCACCATCCCCTGTGGTTTGCACAAACTGAAAAGTTTATGGGCCAAACTGTTGAAAAATGCCTCTGGATTTGTTTTCAGCGCTGGCACATGCAAAAAGGGATGTGCAGACACCAATGCTTTTGTTTCAAAGTCAGCACACCCACTAAACTAAACCTGCTTCTGTGTGTGAGAGTTGTGAGATGCCACAGAGCTTCACCCTGGCAGGGGCTGAGCCTCCCTCAAACCTGACAGCACTCTACAAACACAAATGTCCCACCAAGGGCAGGGGACAATGACATTAAAGCAACTTGCCCGGTGCCATCAGCAGGCTGTCTTACTGATTCTGTCTGAAGGAACTCTTTCTGGAAAGCTTTTGTTTTCTCAGTGGTAGTGGATACGCCTCTACCACTCCAGGTGTGAGCACAACACCACAGCCCCTCCACCTTCAACTGATTTATGGAATCACAGAATCTTCGGGGCTGGAAAACACCTCTAAGATCCTACACTCCAGCCATCAATCAAGTATCACCATGATGTTCATCATTAAAAATGTCCCCAAATGCCACATCCACACATATATTAAATACTTCCAGGGATGGGAACTCTCACCTGGCTACTCATTTGGTGAGGAAATATTTCCTAACATCCAAGCTGAGCCTCCCCTGGCACAGCTTGAGGCTGTTTCCCCTTGTCCTGTCCCTGTTCCCTGGCAGCAGAGCCCGACCCGCCCTGGCTGTCCCCTCCTGGCAGGAGCTGTGCAGAGCCACAAGGTCCCCCCTGAGCCTCCTTTTCTCCAGGCTGAGCCCCTTCCCAGCTCCCTCAGCCGCTCCTGGGGCTCCAGCCCCTTCCCCAGCTCCCTTCCCTTCCCTGGCCACGCTCCAGCCCCTCCAGGGCCCAGAACTGGGCACAGCCCTGGGGTCCCTCAGCAGGGCCAGCCCAGGGCACAGACCCTGCCCTGGCCTGTGGCCACCCCATGGCTGCACAGCCCGGGGCCATTGGCCTCGTGCCCCCCTGGGCACCCCTGGGCTCCTGCCCAGAGTCAGCAGCATTGTCCCTGTCCCTGCTAGAGGCTGTTTTAACAGCCTGTCATTTGGGTCCCAAGAGGAGGATCCCAGACTCTGCTCAGTGGTGCCCAGAGACAGCACAAGGAGCAATGTCCATAAATTAAAAGCAAGAAGTTCCACCTCTACATGAGGAAAAACTTCCTTATGTTGAGGGTGCCAGAGCCCCACAGCAGCTGCCCAGGGAGGTCCTGGAGTGTTCCTCTGTGGAGACAACCCAAACCCTCCTGGCCACATTCCCGTGCCACCTGCTCCAGGTGACCCTGACGTGGCAGGAGGTTTGAACTGAACAATCTCCGGAGGTCCCTTCCAACCCCAGCTGTTCTGTGATTCTGGAACCTCTCCACAATTCCTGGGCAAATCAAGGTTTTAGTCTAGTTACAGATCACTCCCAAAGGATGGTTTGGGCAGGAATGAGGGAGGTTGAACTCCTCCTGCCCTGCACAGTTCTCCAGCTCAGCAGAACCACAGCACAGGCAGAGAGAGCCCTTGGCACTGTGCTGTAAGAACGCTCTGAAAACTACAACATCTGCCTTGCAGTGTTATAGACATTGAGCTGAAACTCTTAAAATAATAATTATTGTTACCTTGGAACCACCAGGGGAGAGCCAGGGTGGAATTCAGTGCAGCATGGACAGGGACAATTTGCTCCAGAGGCTTCTTCCCCTGCACAGAGCTAAACCAGCTCCTGATTCAGGAATCAGTCTCTCATCCATTGTAATTTGCTACACTCAGCATCTGGACAGAAACCTTTTTTAAAAAATTTTAAAAGATTGCTGTTTGATAAAACATAGTTTAAAAATATAATTTTTCTGTGATCAAGAAATAATCTGAGTTCCTTCAGAAATAATTCCTTCAGAAATTCTTTTAAGACTGAAACTAGAATTTGACAATGACTCAAGTGAATGTATTTTGACATTTATAAAAGTGATCAGCATTCATCTCTTGATATACATTAGAGATACAAGAATTCTTCGAATAAAAGGTTTGTCTTTTGATATACAGGAAAGTTTCCATCCTCTTTTAAATTGCAGTGTTACCATTTCTAGATTAGAAGAATAAAAAACATTTCAGAGATTCAAAACACCAAAATCAAGAAGCTTTGACAGTTTTAGATGAAGAATCAGGGTGAATATTATTTTTTGCATTACCTTCATCAAATAATGTAATTTACAGTGCTCCCCTTCCCTGATTAAGCCCAGTTTTAGCCTCCTGACAGCTTCCTGAGAAAATGCTCCCAGTCTGGTCCAGCTCTTCCAGCAAGTGAGAACTACAAGATATAAGGACAGCTGAAGGTCAGCAGAGAGAGTGTTATCTTTCCCAAGTTATTCACGCAGAAAAGGTAATTTTCTGTACAAAGAAATCTGCAATCCATTGTTTACAGGCAGACACAACACCTGAATAAAAGACGGTCCATGGGTATGGTTTTCTGTCACACATTATGACTTTCTGACTCCTTTTCTTCCTCTGCCTTCTGCTAATACTGTTTGCAGTTCACACCAGAAAACTGAGCTGCTGTTCATGGCTTGACTGGCCTTTTACTCCCAGTGTGCCCAAATTTCTGCCCAGTTTGGCTTCTGAAGTTGGGCAGGGAGGGGATGGCACTGGGTGAGCCAGGCCAGCCATGCTGCTCAGCTGCCCCTGAAAGGCTGTTCCCTGAGCCCTGTCCCTGTTCCCTGAGCCCTGTCCTTGTTCCCTGAGCCCTGGCCCTGTCCCTGTTCCCTGTCCCTGTCCCCTGAGCCCTGTCCCTGTTCCCTGAGCCCTGTCCCTGGTCTCTGAGCCCTGTCCCTGTTCCCTGTTCCCTGTCCCTGTCCCTGTCCCTGTCCCTGTCCCCTGTCCCCTGTCCCTGGTCTCTGAGCCCTGTACCTGTTCCCTGTTCCCATTCCCTATTCCCTCTCCCTGTTCCCTGTTCCCTGTCCCTGTTCCCTGTCCCTGTCCCCTGTTCCCTGTCCCTGTTTCCTGAGCCCTGTCCCTGTTTCCTGAGCCCTGTCCCTGTTCCCTGAGCCCTGTCCTTGTTCCCTGAGCCCTGTCCCTGTCCCCTGTCCCCTGTCCCTGTCCCCTGTCCCTGGTCTCTGAGCCCTGTACCTGTTCCCTGTTCCCATTCCCTATTCCCTCTCCCTGTTCCCTGTTCCCCGTCCCTGTTTCCTGAGCCCTGTCCCCTGTCCCTGTTCCCTGAGCCCTGTCCCTGTCCCCTGATTCCTGTCCCTGTTCCCTGAGCCCTGTCCCTGTTCCCTGTCCCCTGTCCCTGGTCTCTGAGGCCTGTCCCTGTTCCCTGTTCCCAACCTTGGCCCCCCTCACTGCCAGACTTTGCTTCACCTGTCTATCTGCTGTCACCTGTCTTCCCTCTGATGATGCAGATAATGTCTGAAATAAATCCAACATTGAATTTGTAATTGGAATAGTGTAAGAATAACACTCTGCAGGGTGGGATTTGCATAGGGGCTTCATGCAAATATCTGTAAGTATTTAAGCCTCCCAAACACTCACAAGTTTTAGGTTCTTGTTTTTTCACCTAATGAATATTCTTTGGTGGACTATTTAGAGATCACCTACAAACATTTTTGTTTAAAAAGTTAATTAATACTGTTAATACACCAGGGCATTCTTTTATCTGCTGCAAATGCATTCCAGAATCTGCTGGGATTGAAAACCAAGGCAAAGCAGCCAAGGTTCATGAACCTTCCAGATGAACCTCCAGCAAATTTTCAGTGAACTTGGGCTGATAGAATGTTCCCCCTTAAGTGATGTGAAACCAGGTCCTTAGAATCCTTTCAAATTACTGCTATGTGAATAAATAATTTTTAAAGTTCAGCTGCAGTTAAGAATTCCAGGCTAACATAAAAAAACACTAAAAATTGCAGATTAGTCAATCCTTCCCGAGCCTTGATTTATTTCCATTCCACAAATTTTAATAGCAGCGATAAAATTTGGAAAGGCCAGCTGAACATGGAAGCTCCACAGGACTAATGACATCTGGGTCATGAAGAAAGCTTTGTTTCAAAGGCCCTCTTAAGGCTGTGGAGCAAGGATTGAAACATTGGCTTTCTGCTCCCCAGACAAGTGTCCCACGTCCCTGGCTAGGGTTTATCTGCACAAGGACTCTCCATTTGTCCTGTTGAAGGTGCTCCAAGATGAAGCACAGGCATGCACAGGGGTGGTAATGAGTGTACTGTGTGACAGCCTGCACACCCAATTAGGAGCCTGGTAGCTTGATTAGAGTCCCCATTCCAGTGACTAATCTTTGATGGGATAGTTAACAGCAATTGGTAAACCGAGAAAGAAATAATGCTGCTGGAGGAATTCACAGGGAGGACTTATAGCTCAGTCTGATATATTTAACTAAATCAGAGAAAACCAAATCGATCCTGATTCATTCAGGGTTCAATTCCACAGCCCAAACACAAAACCAGACACCAGGAACTCATTAATGGTGATTTTCTAAGGCTTTTTGTCTCTTGCTGCAGCAGCTGTTTGTTGAGTGAGGGCAACACATGCCATATATACACTTGGACATGTGATATACATTTAGATGGCTGTCATAGGGCTGGAAATGCAGCTTTGTATTTCTCCTTTGTCTCTGAACATCCCGACAGCAGAGCCATGAAGTGCACAAAAACATCCCTTGATCTGACAGGCCAGCAGCACCTCTCCCAGCTCCAACCCAGACAATCTCTTGGGCTTCTCTGACACAAACTACCAGAGGTAACATTTCTCTTGGCTTCTCAGTCCAAGAGAGGTGAGAAGGGACCTCCAGAACTGTCCAAGGAAACATCCTTTTTATAGAGGCACAGGCAAAGAGCCCATGGAAGTAATGCTGGCTCTAAAAGCTCCCTTCATATGCAAAGAAAAAAGGAAATTTCCATAATGCTGCAGGCCATAGACTGTCTCCAGTTCTGGGAAATTCACTCTGAAGTATATGGATTATAGGCAACCATCCAAACCACATATATAAATATCCCATGTAAGCTGGGCTGTAAGACCTAATATTCTTCAAGAATAATAAAGCTCAACAGTTTTTTAGCTGAGTATAAAGAAAAAAGAAAAGTCAAATGAGGTGCTGATACTGAAAATTCCCAAAATACCCTCCTTTCTTTGATTAGAGCACAAAATGGCATCTAAACAACAACACAGTTGTCATTTGCTGAGGCTGTGGAAAACATATTTTAGGGTTTTGTGCATTGTGAATAGAACTTCAACTGCTTCTGTCCTTGACTGTCCCAAAGGGCTCCATCTGCAGGTAGGGAAACACCAGGAGCAGTTTGTGGTGTTTGCTGCCATTGAAACCTCTCCTGAGAGCCCTTCATAAAAGTGGAAAGTCAGCCAAGGGGTCCCACAGTGCATACAGAACAACAAAGCCCCTTCAGAGATGTATGAATGAATGAATGAATGAATGCATGAGCAAGTGAACGACTTCTTGTGCTAAACAAAGTATTTAAGCACTGAAGGCTTGCCCTGAAAGCAATCCCAAAACAAAGGTTTTATTTGCCTGCTGCAGCTCACCCTGATCTCCAAAGGAGGCATGCAGTGCTGGAAACTGAAACCACTCTTTTCACAGCTCAGAGTACATTCTTAGGGCAATTGCAAAACCAAGGCGTATTTTCTTTTCCTTTTTTGACAGATTGTGAATGAGCATTTTGCTAATGAATCCCATACTGATTTTTGGGATGGTGATGCACTAGCTATCCCACTATCACTGGCTATAAGCAGAATCCTGCTTGTCTAAATTCTCTGATTTCAGTGCACTAAAATGACAAATCTTTGGTGTGAAGTCTGAGCCATGCAGGGAATCAGGAGGCCTTCCTTCACAGTATGTCAGTATTTCTATTTATCTACAAGAAACTGTGTGGCTTCAGACTGTGCTGTTGTTTCACTACTAAAACACCCAATTTCAACTAAGCACACTAATGGTCTAAATACCAAATACCCCAAATAGCCAAATACCCCAAATCCTGCCTGTGTCCCTCACCCTGCAGCCTCCTCACTTGTGTGATGAGCAGCACATCCAGACCCGCAGAAGTAAAACACAGGACCCACACACGGCTCAAACCCCAGCAACAAAATCTGCCAAATCCCCCAGGAGTATCTGAAACTTGTCTAAAAAGCAGGACATTTTTTATCCTTGGTCTAGTCACCACTGTTAGCATTTTTTTTGGTGAAATAAGGATGTTTGAGTTGCTCTGAAACCCACAGCAGGGTAGCCCAGAAGCCACCGAGGGCCTGGAGGCCCTGGGAGAGCACAGCAGCAGAAAAAGCTGATTTTCCTGCCATTAGTCCCAGAAAGCATTTAGCTTTCCCAGAGAAACAATAGGAACTGCCTTGTGTTTAATACTTAATCTGTAAATGCAATGTTAATAATGAATGTCAGACTACTTTTAATTTCTATCAGTGGAAGCATATGCTGCAGTTTGCTCCATTTCCAGTGGGAAGGAAACCGTGGGCACTGTAGTCAGTCTTTTGTTATTAAAGCATTACAGTAGCAGTGTGAGGCCGTGCAGATGCAAATTTGTCATCATTTTCTCTGGGATAATATTTACAGTATTTCAGAGTGCATGGGTGTGAGCAGCATTTTGTACCCATTTGGCAGTTTGTCTGAACATCTGCTTTCATGGTTTGTGCTCACCAAGGCCTGGTTCTTTAAATTCTGGCCTGGCATGAACAATAATATTCTTGGTGGGAAGGATCTGTCACATTTTGTGCTCAGCACACCACAAATTTCCCCAGTGTTTGTTCTTTAGGACAGACATCCCACTGCAACTCAAGTGTAGGAGAGCCTTTGGGCAAGCCAAGAGTGCCAAGATCTTTAGTTAATGATGATCATCACTGTTTTAAAAAACATTTTAAGACATATCAAAGAAGGATCTTTAAAAAGTAGTTCATGAGGGAAAAGGGAGATGAAGAAAGACAAATCATCATGTCACAAAGAGATGGAGGAAATGGCTCAACTGCATCATGCACTGGCTTTCCTCTGCTACCTCTCTTTTCTGAAATCCCATGGAGGTGAAAACACTATGCACAGCCACTAAAAGAACAGAAAGTTGATACAGGAAAAAAAATAAGGTAGACAGAGAAAAAGAAAATTTTCACATATAAAGCAACCAAGAAAAATTATTAAAAATCCCCACAATTTTTAGAAACACTAAGAAATTTTCATATACCAACAAAAAAACTGGCAAAATACATCTCAAAGAGCATAAAAGAGAAAAAAAAAATTGCACCTGGCAATATCATAAAAATTGAAACAAAAATGTTCACTCTAACAATCACATTTAT